GAGGGAGGGAGATGGGAGAGAGAAAGAAAAAATATCTTAACATTTTTATATAGAAGAATGTTGAAAAAAGTGGGGATGAGCAGAAAAAATATATTAGAAAAAGCCAATATTGTTGTTTCAGAGATGATTTTTAAAATGAAGTTAAATGAAAACTGATGGACTTCCCTGGTGGTCCAGTGGTTAAGAATCCGCCTGCCAATGCAGGGTACACGGGTTCAATCCCTGGTCCAGGAAGATCCCACATGCTGTGGAGCAACTAAGCCCGTGTGCCACAACTACTGAGCCTGTGTTCTAGAGACTGTGAGCCGTAACTAGTGAGCCCGCGAGCCACAACTAATGAAGCCCACGCGCCTAGAGCCTGTGCTCCACAACAAGAGAAGCCACCGCAATGAGAAGCCTGCGCATCACAATGAATAGCCCCTGCTCGCCACAACTAGAGAAAGCCTGTGCGCAGCTACGAAGACCCAGTGCAGCCAAAAAATAAGTAAAATAAATTAAAAAATGAAAACTGAATATTGGGTAATTTGCTGTTTGCTATGTATATACCAAAAGGCCTGCATAAGTGTTAAATCCTGCATTTTTGCTATGGACCAGCAGGCATTTAAACACATTTTGAAAAGGTCTCCAGGCATCTCCTCCTAGTGCTCTTTGAAAGACTCCTGATTTCCGAAACAATGAGGACCAGCAGAACAATCCTACCTTGAGTTCATCAAACCGGAGTGTAAAATGAAGAATTTCTGCAAACTGTTTAGCAAGAGCCTGCTCTCGCTCTAGATGCTGGGTAGGAGAATACGGGGTACTTGTCAAGGCTCCCAGAAGACCTCTTAATGCTGCTTCTAAAGAAAAAAAGATTAAAATGTTGTTTGTATCTGATATTTGTTTATTAAAACGTGAGCGATTTTCAAATGTTCTGATTTCAATTCCCATAAAAGTAAGGTCTCTCTAAAAGCCAGATTCTAAACGTAACACTCAAACTGAATACTGTTTACTAGAATAGAAACCCTGAAGTGACTAACTCAATTTCTGTAAACACTAATTCAAAATCATGCGGAATGTGAATTTGAATGAGATACCAGGATCAAAGGACAAATTTTATATTATCTTCACATTCTACTGTGTTGATTTGTATGAAATGGTAACTGTTACTACAGCTGAGTAACTTCTTCAGGGGCGCTGTGGCCACAGAGACAAATCGGTACATGGGTGTGAATGAATTACCAACTTCACATACTTTGAATATGCTGTTTATTTATAAACACAAACTGCTTTCTTTCAGTTACTAAAGGAAACCAAATATTTGGTTTAATAATTAGCTCTCTGAGTGTTTTAGAACTTGGTATCTCAGGACCATAATATAACTATTCTAATTTATTATATAAATAAAACTGTTCCTTTGAAACAACTGCTACTTTTGGAATGCCAGGCGTAGCAGTTTATTTTATATTCCATTTAAAAATGGAAATACTGATTGCACTTCAAAAAAAATCAGAAATCGAACTATTTCAGTTACAGATTACAGAATCAGAAAACAATGGTAGATACTATTCAGAGAAAACAAGAGCTTACAGAGTTAGATGGTCATCTGACGTCTATGAATAAATGTTAGATTAATAAACAAATATTTATTAGTGATAATAAATTTATGTCAGATCATCAACTTTTCACTTAAAAAATACGAACTCTACTGTTTATGAAGACCCAATTATGAACCAACATTCATACTTACGCATTTAACCTAGTCTGTCATTTAACTTTCACCATCAACTGTGACATCGGCATTACAGATGGATAAACTGAGTTTCAAAGAGGTTAGACCCCCAAGGGTATAGCTCATAAATGCCAGGTGTTTCTGATTTCACAGCCCTATTTTTTCCACCATAATAAACTGTTTCTCACAAAAAGCGACATTCTAACTAGCCTTCTGCAACCTTATAAAAGATTAATTTACTGATCAGTACCAAGAGTAAGTACTCCTTATGTGTCTATTATATGGCAGGTACTGAGCTAGACACTATTTGTAGTCCACACAGTAACTCCAAATGACAGCTACTATCCTTTTCTTTATGTAAGTCAGAAAATGTATTGATGGTCTAACATGTGCCAGGCACTGGGGAAAGATGAAGATGGACACGCCCTAGGCCCACACAGCGCCTAATTATACAGAGAAGAGAGACAACTTACTACAGCTGGGATATGTGTTAAGAAGGAGAAGGGCATGGCACCGTGGAAAGGTATAAAAATGGGACCTTACCTAGTTCAAGACTCAGGAAAAGACCTCCCTGAATACCTGACATCTGGGCTGAGACTGGACTGTGCACTAAGAATGAGCAGGAGTTTGCCAATAGGGCAGGGAGCCAGATCCTGAACTGAGAAGAGCGTGACATAGTAGAGAAACGCACGACAACCAGTACAGGGGAATGGAGAGGCAAGAAGGAGAGGAACCTAAGACTAAAACAACACGAGGACCATCTGCGTGCCATATTAATAAGCACCCTGGCCGTGTCATCATAATGTCCCTGGAGAAACTATTTAAGCAGGGTAGTGACATCATCAGATTAGCATTTAATAACTCCACTTCATCTGCAGTGTGGAGAACACACTGTGGGAGTATGGATGGCTTCTAGAGGTGCAAGAGTGGATGTGAGGATCAATTAAAAGGAAAAAACTTTTGGCTCTTTTGAAAAATGGCTTACTTCTCCCAGTACTCATCTCATGTGTCAGCATTAATATAAGTGGAAAACAAAGTTTGAGAGATGTGAGAACAGGAAAAACCATTTTAAAAACAAAAACAAAAAACACCAATACTGTTACAAGCTGTTAAAGAAAAAAAGAAATTCTCGTTTCCTGGATTTGATCCAGCCTCAGGGCGAAGTCCAGCATCTACAGTGCTCACCGCTCTGGGGAATGGGAGACACTCCTCAGCCCCACACTGAGGGGTGAGTCAGGTCATGGCTGACCTGGGATGGCCAATGACCGGGGAGAACTTCTGTCCGTGAACAGCTAAGTCCTCAATGGCACATCTGCCATGAAAGAGAAACTCAAAATGATAAGGCTGCTTACTTGCCTTTGAAGCAGCTAGATCAGCCCAGGGCCCTCTGCTGATACAAGACAGTCCTACTAGACTACAGTGCCCTGCGACAAGAGGGGAATCAGAGACAGAGGATCTCAGAAGGTGGCTCCAGTCTCTGGCTGAGTTAGAAAGAAAGGGAGGTCAAAGAACAGATGATGTAGGGATTTGGTCTCTCTGATGAAGCTCCTGAAACAAAATGATGTGGTTATGACTCTTACAAAAGGTAGACGGCAAGGAGGAAACTAGTGGACTACTTAAGCCCTAAATTCTGGAAAGCATTAGCTGGTAAACCAGTGCAGAAGCCAAAGCTATGTAAGAAGGCTGCAAGAAAGAGACTGAATGGAGAAATAATGACAGATCAGTCCACAAAGTAGATCCAGAAGGGGAAACAATGGATGACTAGGAAGAGAAGGCTCCTTTACAGACAAGAGACATATATTCTCACCTACTGCCAACCATCCACTATCAAAGAGCAGTCTTTGAATCCCCAGAAGAGAACCCAAAGGATATGGAGTGCGGGGTATCTGAAACAGCCAAGAGGTAATACCACCATTGTGGGCACTTCAGAACCTTTTGAACAATTTTGATAAATTTAGCCCAGTGAAAAGGAGTCAACACGTTGGATAGACTCACTCACTATGACCCCTGGAGGTGGCCCCAATAAGCCCCTGGAACAGGAAGACTGAGGAGACACAGAGCAGTTTATGTACTGTCTGGCCACAAAACCTTCGCTCAGATAGCTACCTCAACTGGGAAGGCCTGAGACTGAAACAAGCAAGTACAGGATGTTTCCCGTGCCAGCAAGGTTAAACCATGTTGGCAAAGCTCAGTGTCTTCCAAATTAGTCAAGTGGTCCCTTTCCTGTCCCTCTATAAATATGCAAACCAGCAAGGGATCAGGGTCCCTCTTCTGGAGTACACCCCATGGTTTATCTGTAGTGCTTGAACCAAGCAACCTTCTTGGAATTCTGAAGGACCATGTGCATCTTCACAGTTGTGCTGTATTCTGTGTGCCGTTTGTGGTGTTTATCCTCATCTCTGGCTCAACAGTGAGGTAGGAAGAAAAGAGACAACAGAGGTTAAGTGGACTTAAAGCAGAGGGTTCAACTGACTGGAGGTCCAGATAGGATACTGAAGCTCAGAGAATTTAAATGATGTAGCCAAGGCCACACAGCTAATGACTGCAAACAGAGGAATTCAAACACAGGCCATTATGCCTTGAAAGCCTAAAATCCATTATTATTGCTTCTCCTGAATATCCGACACATATTTGATATATCAGATGTATGTACTCATTTATCTATCACTTGCTCACTCATTCAACACTGAGTTCCTATCACATGCAAGCAAAGACTTCCTCGCTTGTCAGCAAAGAAATTGGAAACATTATAAACCAGGTTATTGGCCGAGAGATGAGGAGTAAACCACCAGATCTTAAATTTGTACTTTGTTCATACCTTTACAGAAGCCCTAGACCACACAATGAAGGTTCAAGGCTCCCACATGACAGAATAAAAAACCGATAGCTTTCTGCTATTACCTGTGTTACTATATCCTCTGCTGAAATGGAACCCATCACCTGTGCCAAAACACACAACACTAACCTGATGTAATTCTAGTAGTTAAAATATGAGAAAATATGTAAGCCTGATGGGTTTGGTCTATTTTATAATTATTCTTTTTTTTTTACTGGCAAATGCTAAGAAACCAAGATGAACTTGAGTAGGACCTGAACGGCACCTAAAGCCATTTAACTTCGAAAGCATCTAGGAAGGAGCAGCACAGCAAAACCCTAAACAAGCCGTGAAGATAACTAAAATGGAAAGACCTAGGCTCTCTGAGGTTACAAAGCTACAGACTACGTAGATACCTGACTGAAAGAACTGACTGTCATGCTCGAGGAAAATAATTTATAATTCTTATTTCTAGTAAGAAAAGGACAATTTAAGGCTTCCCTGGTGGTGCAGTGGTTGAGAGTCCGCCTGCCGATGCAGGGGACACAGGTTTGCGCCCCGGTCGGGGAAGATCCCACATGCCGCGCAGCGGCTGGGCCCATGAGCCATGGCTGCTGAGCCTGCACGTCCGGAGCCTGTGCTCTGCAACAGGAGAGGCCACAACAGTGAGAGGCCCGCAAAAAAAAAAAAGGACAATTTACACAAACACTTCTATCTCAACTATTATTTGTCTTTGCATTTAACAGTGTATACTGCATCTAAGGAAAAATAGCAATTCTCTTGCTTTTTAAAAAATATGCACGTTTTAAAAAATACACAGAACTTCACAGGACTTCCCTGCTGGCACAGTGGTTAAGAATCCGCCTGCCAGTGCAGGGGACACGGGTTCGAGCCCTGGTCCAGGAAGATCCCATATGCCGCAGAGCAATTAAGCCCGTGTGCCACAACTACTGAGCCCTCGCTCTAGAGCCCATGAGCCACAACTACCGAGCCTGCACGCGGCAACTACTGAAGCCCGCACGCCTAGATCTCGTGCTCCGCAACAAGAGAAACCACCGCAGTGAGAAGCCCGCGCATCCACACCGAAACGAAGAGTAGCTGTGGCTCACCACAACTAGAGAAAGCCTGCACAGCAATGAAAACCCAACGCAGCCAAAAATAAATAAATAAATATTTTAAAAATAAAAAGCTCAAATTAAAAAAAAAAAATAATAGAACTTCAATGCTGAAGCAGAGGTTGTAAACACAAATGGCCAAGTAGCTAATATAAAGACATAAAGAGAGCAAGATATAAAAAACCAGGATGCAGTAGAGACCCACTGCAAACTAGAAAGCACATGCCCTAACTACTGGACACAGAGTCAGTTTGCCACTTAGCTTCGCCAATTGAGAGGCAGATCCATTGCTCAACTGCTGGCTAAGCTATTGATTTTTCCAAAGCAACCGAAGACTTAAAACACACACAACACATATAATTACCAATTTTAAAACCTGGCAATTAATCAGGAATTTTTAAAAACCATGCGGGCCAAACAAACCGTATCTCAGGTCTCAATTTAGCTTATGAGCCGCCAGTTGACTTCTATCTTACAGTACTGGTTTCCTTATCAAATTGTATGTACTCATTTAGAATATATAACACATTTTTATGATTCAAAAAGCAAAACTATATAAAAACACGTATCAAAAACTTAAACTGAAATGTTTCAAATTTCTGACACATCTATACCACTCCTTCCCTATGCTCCCAACTTCACAAAGCTTACATCTTTCAAATTACACAAGCAGCTAGAGAGCTAAATCTTACCTGTTCTACCTCCTCCTTCTCCAAGAAAAAGAACTCCAATTTTGCTTATTCACTGTATTAAAGGCACAATTCTGATCTCTGAATAATTTTTCCCATGTGAGGGAAGCAGCAGATGGTTATGAATTCTTGTTACTTAATGACTCCCTCGATAACTTCGCATATAACATTAGCTTCCTATTTCTCATCTTGTACAGCTTCAGGTACATGAACCGATCATAATCAGCCGTGATCTTAAGAACACAAAAATCTAAATAACCCAGGAGACCTTGGATTAGTTCCCACATATGGGGAAGGATGTGCTATGGAGCTGGAGAGAAATTCTACCAAGCTGTTTCCCATAGTAGGACCCTTTAAGCTGCAAAAAATCAGAAATTACCTTATGGAAGTCAAAATTTGTTGAGGAAAATGGTCTAAATAAATTGAACACCTGGTTTAACAGGATGACAGGAAGATTATGCTATAATCTCATTGTCTACCAAGCTGCTTTACCTATGAAACATATAAATTTAGCAATACGAACATAAAATACTGTAAATAACTTCCAGTATCAGTAACTGTCTTTTTCACTAGGCAAGTCATAATGACAAAACTTTCAACTTACCTAACCTCTGAGAAAACTCATAAAATTTCTTTAATTTGCCTACTAGTGGAACAACTGCACCCCATGCCTTCTCTTGCAACTTCTCATCTGCTGGATGCTGGATGGCCTTCAAAATCCAAAGAATAAAAATAGTTAGATTTTTTAAAAATCACAACAGTATTATTTTTACATTAATATATAGGTTTTGGCAAACACAGGAAACCCTGGTATAGTCCATGAAATTCAGAATAATGGACACAGAAATGCTGAGAGTGGCCTTCTCAACTCCATGGATACTTTAAACCTATTATAATACATTCTTCGTTATTCTTGCAATGGATATGGATAGATGGAATAAAAAATGACACAATGTATGTTTGTTAGGTATATTACACCTTGATACTTTTTAGAGCCACAAAAAGAAACCAAAATGTTTCCAATATCACAGACAAGCTTTCTTAGAAATTCTGTTTTAAGGATTATTTTCGTAGAATAAAAGGAAACCAAAAAAGGCAGGCAATAATGTAATAAGACCCAATCTGGGAAAAGGCTAATAAACTTTCAATAATTCAAATGCCAGGGTCCAAACTAGTTTTTAAAAAGTTACCAAACACTTAAAAACCTAAATCAGCCTGAAAAATGTGATTCAGAAATTGTCACTTATCCCCACCCTATAACTAAAATTCTATTCTGGAATCTAAGTTTTTTTAGGTTTTCCTGAGTGAGGTGAAAAACTAGTTTCAAATGTGAAAGGGGAGAAAATAAAACATAATCTAGAGACTCTAAAATAAACATGAATATGCTCTTTCTCTGCCCAGTCTTCCAAGCCATCAGGCAATCATTTGTAAATATAGAGGGTTATTCCCAAAGAAATATATTTTCTTGCTTTCATCTCCCTTTTGCCTTTCTTCACCGTTTTTCCACACCTTGGTTTGCTTTCTCTAACATCTTCAAATGAGCTAAACACACCATCTGAAAGGTGAAACGCATAACCAACGCCTGTTTGTAACATACCAGAAATCTAAATGGCACATTTAGATTTTCCCAAGACACTAGTACTCTGACTCCATCCATACAAAACCAAAAAATAAGAAAGCAAAATAAAACTGAAGCCAGATAGATTTAGAAGATGCTTCAAATTAGCTACAAACTAAATAAATGGGCTATACACTGTTTAAGCAATTTGCTTTATAAGCTTGCCATTGAATTCAAATTTTCTTGATTTTTTTTAATAAACAAATAGAGGAGTCTGAAATGAATCCCACTTATATGACTATCTAGAAATATTGTAATGTTAAAGAAAATCAGACATTACAACATGTAACAATCCTTATTTCACATTGTATTATTGTGACTATTTCAAAGGGACTGGGATATCATCCTGAGGTATATGAAAAAATCCCTTTAGCCTCAAGTCCAGTCTCAACGGTTTCATATCAAGTAGTAAAAATTTGTTTATTACTTGGGAAATAAGCAAATAGATAGTATTTTAAAATTTATTTTCTTCTCCTCAGAAGTCTATCCAACCTTTCTTGCAAGGATCTAAAAATGATTTTCTAAATATCAGTTCATTCTCATAATATTAAAATGCTCCAGCAAATGTCACCCATTTTCATAACTGAATAGAGTTAACTATTTCCTTGGCCCTGCCTTGCCTGGATTTAGAACTGAAGACACTGTCTGCTCTTTTATGACAACATTTTATGGTTCTCCTTATAATTCTGATTCTTCCTCCTCTCAGATCAGTTTTACTGCTGTTAGATAACATTTCTGGTACAGCACCCACCATAGCCCAACATGAAAAAGAGCACTTAAGTAAAATGTCAATGGTGAGGTTGTCATGGAGCAAATATTATAACTTTCATTTTCAAAAATGTTAAAACTGGGCCTCCCTGGTGGTGCAGTGGTTGAGAGTCCGCCTGCCGATGCAGGGGATACGGGTTCGTGCCCCGGTCTGGGAGGATCCCACATGCCGCGTAGCGGCTGGGCCCGTGAGCCGCGTAGCGGCTGGGCCTGTGAGCCGTGGCCGCTGAGCTTGCGCGTCCGGCAACGGGAAAGGCCACGACAGTGAGAGGCCCACATAACGCAAAAAAAAAAAAAAAAATGTTAAAACTGTTATGGATACATCAAAGCATTAGGGAAAGTTCTTATTTCCCTCTCTAGTAGTTTATTCTAGAGAGTAAGCTTTGTTTACTTAATAGATTATATCTTAAATCACATTTTATTCAATTTTAGAGTCATGTTTAATAAAGTACTATTAAACAAATACATATATAATCCACATCATTAGCATAGTAATAACAGTAAACCCTCAGTCTATGTTCTATGTGTCAGCTTCTATGTGTCTTTGCTGATGGATTATCTAACTTTATCCTCAAAACGACTCTATGAATTGCTTCTACATTTTTTCTACGATGAATAAGGTGGCCATAAAGGTTTTTACATTTACCTCCCTCTTGAATGATAGCCTTTTGGAGAATATTTTCTAAAATTAAGTATCTGATAGAAGAGTATAAGTAATTTTACAGATCTAATTTTATACCTTGCCAAACTGACCTCCAAAAAGATACCATTCTACAATACCACTTGCATTAAGACTACCTGTTTCTTCATAAACCAACCAATATTAAACTTTTAATACTTTATTACTGTATGCAGTAAAACTTCTTGACAGTGATGGGCATTTATTGTAAACCTGAACATTCTTCTATTGTGTGTTTTCTCATAGGTAGAATGGTTGTTCTACTAAGTCAATTAAGTCTTCACATTGACCTATGGCAGTTTTGGTAGTTATATCTGTTCTTTATGTATTTGGTATATACTCAGCCTTTATATGTTTAGGGAACTTGCAATTCACAGAAATGGTTACATGCCTTCATTTACTGAAATCTTAAGGTTTTACTCAAGCTAATAATATTGGCAAGATTAATCTAAAGCTCTTGCATTTATTTCTTCAACAGTTATTAACTGCTTACTAAGCACTATACTAGGTGCTGATAACACAAAAATAAACCAAGTTTACCCTCCTCAAGCTAGCAGTACAGCAGTGGAGATACAGACATCATATATCAATGGTTTAAAAAAAGTGATGGCTACCATAAAAAAACATGTGCAAGGTGCTATAGCAAAAGAGTACAGGGAAGTAGAAGATTATTGGGATTTGAAGGAAGGAAAAGAAAAAAAGAAGGGCATATTCCAGACAAAAACAAAGGCAAGTAACTGTACCTACGTAAGACATTCAGGAAACAAGCAGTCCAGTGCAGGAGAGGTAAAACATGGAATTCACATTATCTATAACTTCCCTGCTAATGATACGACCAACTGCTAATCTAAACTAGACACCATGGAACCATTTAACTCCTCCTTCTCCTTTAAACACCCAGTCAATCACCCAAACCTGTGGCCCCTCAGTCCAAAACACTTAGTGACTCAGTGTCTTCAGGTGTGTGCACTTATTTCTCCCTTTACTAGTACTCCAAATATCATTAGAGGAATCAGGTTCGATATGGTCTGTAAACCCAAGAGATCAATCCTTGAAAACCTCTGCACTATTAGTTCCAGAGAAGAATAACAGAAACAGAAGGGCAGGAAAAAATGAAGCAACAAAGTGTGAGCTATGCCTTCAAGAAATGTAATGAGAAAAAGAGAGATAAGGTCCAGAGGCCAGGGAGTTTCTTTGGGTAGTACAGGACACTTGAGTATATGTGTACATGCGCTGGGAAGGAGTCAATAAAAGAAAAAAGAAAGAAAATGTAATTAAGAGAAGGAAATTAAAAGAGTAAAGTTCCAGAGGAGGGTAGAGAACAAAGGTAGAGAAGTTAGTCTTGGTAAGAAGTAGGGACAGCTTCTTCTGAAAAAAACAAAAAAACAAAAACAAAAACAAAAGAAGAAACGGAAAAAAAGATGGATGGAAACCTGGATAAGTTCAGAGGTTTGGGAGAAGAAAGCTGAGGGAGACCACACCAAACATTTGCTCTGTGGTATCAAGTCATCAGACAGAGTTGAGGGAGTCCAGATCACAAGGATGGTTTCAGCTTTCTCCTAGGAAGCTTAGGAGGAGCAGAAAAATAGAGTGGCAGGACAAAAAGAAGCCACAGAAAGACTCATGTTCTCCCCTCCAAAAACAATATAAATAGCCACCATGGATACTGTGAATTTCAGGTGTGAGAATAAACCAAAAAAATAAACTTTTCTTTAATATATATAAATTACATATTTATAGAACCTTGTTTTCCTTTTACCCTTTTATCACTGCAACCACTTTTGAAATAATGCAAGTGATCTTCCTTTAAACAGAATATTTAATATGCAAACAGACAATAAAGTATAGAAAATAACAGAGATTAAAAAGAGGGACACAGTAATTTTTAGTTTATTGGAAAATGTATAAACATGCTTTACCTCTCGTATTTCATGGCCAGCTCCTCTATATGACTGCAAGTCCTCCAAGATGCCTTCTGCATCTTTTAGTACTACATTCACCTGATTATAAATTTCCTTCTCAGACTCTGTAGGCTGGGCATCTAAATAGCAGGAAAGCACAAGAAAATTTAGAGTCACATGATTTTTTTTTTAGTACATGTATAATAAATCTAAGCATTGATTAATCTGATTTTCTAAAGATGACTAACATTTTGTCCAGTGCTAACTTTGCACTTCTTAGAAAACACTGACAATTTTTCCATAGTTCTACATTTGAATAACTATCCTCAAGTTTGTAAATATCACAAAGAAGCAAGGGAACACCAAACATTACTATTTATTTTAAGTTACAAATCATGATGTGGTATATTAAACAAACAAGATTATAATTCAAAAATTTTAATTGTGAGTGTTAATAATCACTGTTTCTACTATATGCATCACTAACAGTAATGACTGTAAATGTATGAGTAATGATCTATTTTAATGCAACAGAAATGAAACGCCTATTAATACATCTTGCTCACCTATGGTTTAAGACAAACTATTTTCCTATAAAGTTCATTTTAATGACCGAGTTTTGATATAAAAAAATTAGAAACTAAAAAAAAAAAAAGTTTTTAGATACTCCCTTTTTCTAAAGACCTTTATATTCTGTACCAATGAACTTCTCTGCTGATGAACAAAAGGTCCAGATTCCTGTGCAGAGGACTTCGAACTATGAAAGTGCTCCAGAATCACTAGGCTACTAAAAACTAGATACTTTAAGATCCAATAGTATCACTGAAATTTTGAAATACTAAAGCAAAGGCCGAGTTCCTATACACTTGGGACTGAGAGGAAAAATGGAGAATTATACTTATAAAAAACATAATCAGGAACACAAACATATGGGCATTTCCACTACCTGTGGCGTTAGCCACAATACATAGGTTAATAGATGAATAATTCTGGATTTCTCTCTCTTAGACTCGAGGTGACAAAAATCCCGTTTTCAATACCTTGGTCATTTGTTTCTCTAAGGATAAATCTTTTCTATTCAATACATTTGATTCTTTTTTTGGGTGGGGAGGGGAGAATTGGCCGCTTTGTGACGAAAATGAGTTTTTCATAAATCTTGCCAACTAGACTATATCCAATACTGCAGATAAGGCATAAAGCACTTAAAAAATAAACATTATGATTACCATAATGTTTTAGAGAGCAACTTTGATGTCAAAATTCCTCCATGCTAAAATTTTCTCTTACTCTGGAGGTAGGGGAGGCAGACCAAATTTATAATATGAATTAAGAACATTTCTGATAAATCTCTTGTTCACCAATCATATAAAACTAGTACCTAGAATTTTCTGCACATATTCCACCTCCCCATAAATACACAACGATCTATTTATTCCTTTCCTTAGAAAAATTTTACAAATTTTGTTCACACGTGAAACTAGGAGTCCAGATGCCTAAAACCTGTAACTTTATTTTGCGCTTAGGGCAAGTCATAATTCAATTCCATTTATTAAACCTGCCAACTAGTCAAAAATATACCATTTATATTTTTTAAATCAACAAGTACAGTATCAATTTCAACATACTTAAGACATTACTACAGCAACAATAAGTAACATTCACATGCAAAGCCAACTCAAGAATTTGTGTTTTCATATCTGTTCCCTTATTTTTCACATTTACTTTCAGAAATCATGTATTTTTTTTAATGAAAATGTTATGACAAAATAATTACACAAGGAGTCAACTGAAAAATTAAAAAGACCCTGTCTGTGTCCAAAGCTACAAAGGTACTACTAGGAGCAAATACTGATATTATAGCTAAATGATTTTTTAAAAATCAGAGTTTGTCATTTGGCAGTAGTATTTTTTCACATTTAGCCAGACCATGTTCTCCAAAGTCACAGTTAGACACACACTAAAAAAAAAAAAAAGGTACACCTCATAACTTTTATACTTACACCAGATGCAGTAGAGAAAAATAGTTTCACATGCAAAAACAGCAGTTTTATACTTTTCATATGGAATTGTGAAACTACGGACATAACATCAATAGTAGACACATATCATAGTTTGAATTCATGAAGTGGGAATTCATGACAAAGGACAATATTTTGACTATTATATAGTAAAAGATATTTGTGAAGTTTGAAAATACTAAACTATGTATTTTGGGTGTGGTGACTAGCTGTTAACAGAAAAATATGACACTGAGAATTACATACAAAAGAAACATTATCAGATAGATTTAAATAGACCTTGGAAGTGGTTAATAATTATTAAAGATTAAATAAATACCAAGAAATTTAAAAATAAAGGAGAAGATTCCAGTTTCCCCTAAGGGTGGAAAAAGTACCCAGCACCACACTGATTAAACATTTTTTAGACTGTCACAGGAAAGTCACATTTATAATTTTGAAAGCTGCTGAAGACTGCTGTAGAGATGAAGACAAACAGAAAATAGCAGACAGGTAAAGCACTACTTTACTGATAGCAAGTCATGCAAAAGGGTGAAATACTAGGGAGGGGAAAGGACTCCATAAAATAAAACACTTTTTTCCAAAAATGGTATCATATAATACAACCAAGACTTGTCACTTTGATTTTTCATAGCAAAAATGGAAAACTTTTATTACTTGAGGAAAAACACATCACTTAGCCAGCTAACAGACGGACATTCAATTAATTGCAAAATGTATCTACTATACTACTGAGAGTAACCACAGTGATTACTCATCAAGCTTAGTTTTAAAAGCTGTTCAAGAGAAATTACAGCATATTTCAGTTGCTCGTACTATTTGAAAGTAAAATTAATTATTTTAATAAATTCACACCAGTTTCCTACAGAAGAGTCACTGAAAATAATTGCCAAAATTGAAGCTGTTATGATACAAAAGGAGGCAAAGGATCAGCTATGAAAGGAAAAAAAATTAAAAGACATGTAAAAATTCTAATTGTGATAAGGGGTCTGTCTGCTTTAATCTTGCATTCATTCATTAAATATTTACAGTATATCAATCACCACAAGTCTCATCGAGGCAGGGACCTCAATGTAGAGTACATACCACTGTACAGTATGTAAACTCAGTACCCAGTAGATTTTCCATAATAAATATTTATTGAATGAATGAGAAGGTACAGAGATATAAATATGCCTCCAGCATGTGTTAAAGAAGGCTATTATGCATTTTTATCTCTAAATAAATATAATCCTACATAATTTTAGAAAAATAAATATAAGAAAATGCCACCAGAAATTTCCAAGTATGGGGCAAAAGCAATTGAAAATACACAAAAATAAAATGGAAAAACAAAGTTAGACTAAAAGGGTGGGTATTATCAGTATTTTTTGTAAATGGGGGGTAAGAGGAACAGGCAACACAAAAGACACAAGAATTAGAAGAAATGTATGACTAAGTGGAAAGGCACTATAACAAAGAATCAAAGGAAGTAAGATTCATTTCTCACAAATGACCACCTATATTTACTCTCCTATTTTGGCCTACCTGGAGATAACTAAATCAAGGTTAACTAATGAATATTGAACTTCTATGATTACAGAGGACTATGCTAAGGTTGGGAGGGGACATAAATATAAAAGTCCCTCTTCTCCCAAGAAACAATCTAGTGAACTAATAGATATAGTAGTTACTCAGGCTAAAGATCTGTCATTAGAATGACCTGTAAATTAACAATGTCATTATAAAATAAGAAATTTCAAGAACTAGAAGAGGTTGTACAGGCCCCAATTCAGTGCTTTTAATATGTTGTCATTAGCATAACTGCTGCCAAACTGTATGGGGCAATTCTGGACTTACATATTAATTAAACCACTATTCTTAAAATCATATAGGTATAATCTGTTTTCAGAAAAAGACCCTCTTTCTAGTACATCGAGTAGATAATGATATGTTTCACTGAACACAGAATGTCATTTCACGCCTTAAGGCTTTTTTACAAGTTGTTCCTTCTTTCTACAACATACTGCACTAAATCAGTCTGAAACATTCTAATTCACCCTTCACAACGCAACTCAAATATCACCATCAGAAAGTCTTCCATGCCCAATCTACTCACAGCTAGGTAAAGTTAATCCCCTTCCTGAACTACACCTTGAATGATGTAAATTATGTAAATAATTAGTTTGCATTTCTATCTATTCTAATGATTTGTATTTCTCTCTATTCTACTGAACTGAGAACTCCCCAAAGGCAAGGGTTGTATCTTAGTTAACTTTGCATCCCCAGTACCTACTGGCTGGCATACAGGAGGCAGGCTGAACTGAGTGAAAAACAGTATGTGTGTGTGCAAGCACGTAAATTAAGGGATAATGATTAAAGACCGTCTTCATTTGGTAAACTACAGGATTCCATTAAATCATACTTTAAAATTACCAGAATAACTAATTTTTATACAGCTTGATGCAAAATGCCAGTACATCTGTCTGTATGGAACCATGGACATGCACTGAGCTAGATTTAACCAATTAGAATTGATGGAAACAGTAAAGCTAAATTATTCTGGTAACCTAAATATTACTGTTCATCTAGAAATAATGTAGTACTAATACTCTATTTAATAAAAGAATATGACTTTATCCTCAGTAATCATAATGAACTGGCAAATCAACTGTGTTGGCAATTTTGAATCTGGTATAAAACAGGTTAAAGAAAGGAAGTTTCAAGGGGTCACTATAGTAGCCTAATGATAAAATACACTTTTACAAGTGCATATTTCCAAAAAGATGACAAATATTCAAATGGATGACATAAAATTGATTAAGAGAACTCTGATGTTAGATTCAAAAGAAAACATTTAAAAATGTAACTAAGAATTAACAAGGGACAAACTCTGGCCTAGTCTGCAGTTTGTTTTCACTAAATTTCATTTACAGTATACCAGTAAGTGTCAAACCAAAAGTTCTACATTGGCTGATATAAGCAACAAATATTTAATTTACATCTGCCTTTAAGACGTTAACACTTTATATATAGTTCTTCATTGTTGGTTATTATTGTTCTTGTTAGCAATTTTTACCTTTTCCTGCTACTAAATTAGCTATTTAAATTTTAAGGATAATGATCTAAACTCCCAAAGGTTAGAAAACCAAGACCCAATAATATTTTTAAACTACAGTAAATTCATGCTTTTCACTTGACCACAATATAACACTAGGTTTATAAAAAGATCAAGTGCCAAGTCTTGAACAAGATCTTGACTATATCAAAGCCAAGATTCTGCAAACGTAAGGAACTTGAGACAAAGAGTAAAAAGGAGACAGAATAGCAGGAAAATATACAACAGCAAGTTTGAAACAGATGCAAATAAACTAAAATACAGCTCTAATGTAAGTTGCCTCATCTGAAAGAATAATCTTCAAGTCAGCAATCTGCTCAACATCCCCAAGCTGATTAAAATTCATGCTAAACATGCATTTAAAGCAGCACTGTTAAATTGTTGAGAAGGGTCAAGAAAACTACTATTCAGTAACACTGTCCCCTAAAACCCAAACAATATGGTCCTGATATTGACAGTACTACTCTTTGCTGGCCTGCACACAGTACCCAAACTGTAACAGAACATTAATAGGAATGTAATAAAAGTAGAAAAATATCAGAGACCAAAAATTATCCCATCAAATGGAGATAAGCTATAAATTAATGTGCTCATATGAACTGTCCTGGTTTAAAGAAAAAATATATAAATTATTCATAATAGAATGAATTCTATAATATCACATAAACTAAACTGAAGTTGATGGAAAATGTAATGTCTCTCTGTGGATTTATTTTAAGAGATTTGTTTTAAAAATCAGAAAAGGTCTTAAATTTTAAGTATTTAAAAATCTGTTCAAATGTTTTAATCTCAGATGAAAATGCGGTGGGGGGGAGCGGGTCACATGATTTATAACCTAAAAGCTCTCTCTTCACCCTTTCCTAACAATTTTCTAATGATGAGTTAAAATAGCAAGATTCACACTAAAACACCAATTTAATATCATTGTTCCCAATTTGACAACCAGACAAGCTAAAGCAACACTGACAGCCAAAAAAGCAAAAGCTTTTCAACATGCACAGGGGTCAATGACACTTACCTGCCACTCTTAGACCATATTATAATAGGTCATGCAACATAAAACAAACAGAAGGCAAATTACTTAAAGGTCTGTGAACCCATTATTTTTCTTTTTAGAGTTAGAAAAAAAATGAATTCCTGAAATAAATACATATAATGAATTTAACTTTTCAAATTAATTATCTGCGAAGATTAAATAATTAAGGTTCACACTTACCTTTTAATATTATGCCCAAATTACTGAGCTCTGAATGGCCTTCATGAACAGATTTTGTATTCAAAGTATTTCAATAGGTACACAGAGTAACTGAAACCAAGTCAATTTTTCTCAACTGCAATAAAATTTTCCCCAAATATTGCTTCTAGTTAACAAAGCTTGAAGTAGCATTTGTCCTTTCCACCAAAATTTTTTCATAAAAATGTTTTTAGAGAATCTCAAATATTTTCAATAGAGATCTCAAATTATAAAATAATGTCCAACTAAGAGATATGAGTCTCTTACAAAAGTTCAAAAACATTTTATCACAATTTAATCTATGAAATATGACTTCCAGTTCTAGAAGGCACCAGAAATTTTACTCAAACAATTCATAGCTCAGTCATGCAAAGCAAAAGTTAAAAAGATGGCAAAGTGGAAACATTCATTTAGTGCAAGACAAACGCAGTCTACTGCAGGCAAAGAAAAATAGATATAAAATCATCTTCTCACTTTCAAAATCAAGGAAAAAATTTGGCCCCTGCTCAAGGTCTGTGCATGTCAAAACTTTAAGAAGATTCCCCATGTTAAGGTACCTGTCAAGACAAGAATGAGAAAAGAGAAAATATCCCTTTATAAAAAAGAACATCTGAAATTTACTTAAAAACAAAACAAAACAAAACAAAAAACAGTAACAGGGAAAATGTTCATTAGGCCATGAATTCGTCCTTCAGGTTACCCAGACTGTGCTCTGGCAGACAGCAAACCGGGTTCTCAAGGTGCTGATATGTAGGACCTAGAGGTGAAATGTAGTTTTCCTGTACACAATGGCACAACTGTTGCTCTAATTCTTCTTAAAATTCTCCCAAGTTTCATTAATGGCCTTATAATGAAAAATTCTTTAAGTATTCCAATAGTGCTAGTATTCTGAAAAAGAAATTTCTGATCAAGAATTATTCACATGTAATCTTGTTTAATATTGCACTGAAACAACAATTTATTTCAAAGCCAAATATTGAGAGTTTTGGCCACAGCTCACCTTTGCATTTCACCTTAAAATAGCAGAATATTAAACTACTTCCTGTATGCCGTTAAATAAAGCATGTATTTCTAACCAAATTTGGATTCTCAATAATTTGTGGAGGTTACTTAAAGTACTGATTCTGGATATGCAGCACAACTCTGATTTGTCATAAAAATTATCATAGGATTATAAGCAAACAGATTGTTGGGCATAGTCACTAAGGCATACTATTAGAATGTTCATCATAAGGCTACTTGCTTCATGGACTAATGAAAGGACAGCACTGGCTACAGACTCAACATGATTTCAGCAAATGAAAAACTAAATTATACATATGATGGTGATGCTTGCCTACGATTAAGAAAAAAGTCATGCAAACTTTGTTTGATCCCCATACTTTATTAACAAATAGTCTGGCTGGCCTTCACTGTGGTGTGAGTATAATTAATCTTTCACCTTTACCATTATGCACCAGCCGTGAAGGGCTAAGAGACTTACTTTCAAAGTCCAAGAAAAAATGTGCTGCATTGTGGTCTATGTCCCTGGTTAGCACCTTAATGAGATTACCCATGCCAGCAAACCTAAAAATAAAAATGGCAACATCATTTAGTTCCAGTAAAAAAGTTTTTAAGCAGAGGCCTGGGATTCGGCAAAGGCTGGCTTGCTCATAATTACCAACAGGTGCAGGTTTATATGCTTCTGGCATTGAAAATTTGGAACAACAAAAGCACATTCGGCTCTGAGTTTATAGCTCTTGTCCCTCTTTTCCACATATCAAAAAAGTTACATAAAGCAAAACTGGCAAAAAGATTAGATTTTTACATATAACTTGCAATATTTACATTTGATTAATATCTATGCTAGTGTTACTCCTTTAAAATGTTTGAGGCATATATTCTCAACTGAAATTAACATCAAAATAGATTTCTCAACTAAGTAAATATTGAGACCATTATTCTTAAATAACAGGGATATTGTCCTTCTTGCAGATTCAAATCCTATTGGGAATGCATGGAAAACAGTACTCAAACCACACTTAAAGACTGAAGGGAGATATCAATTAATGACCCATTTTTTAAATTTTACCACACAAAAGCCAGTATTTCTTACATTTTCTATACTCCTAAGAATAATCAAACTTTTTGTTATTTAACCCACAGATTGATTATTCAACAATATCAACTATATACAAAGTATGTAACTTAGAAGTTAACATAGCAAACAAACACAAAGGGAGCCAGCAATTATTACAACTTCATAAATTTGCAGAGGAAAAATAATGCGATGGTATAAATCTTGCTCAAGAATTTGCCATGACTCAGTGAGGATGAAGGTGGAAGGAGGGGGTCAGGAACATCCAGGAAACCAGATTCAAACCTTGTAGTTGCAGTAACTATAGGAAAGGCAGACTATGGTGTCACAGGCATCCCATACCCTCCCCTCCCCCAATCTCCATACTTTTTCTCCAAATATGGAACTACTGGTAAATGTAAATGAAACAAAATACAAAAGTAACAATATTTTTATCAATGAAAAAGAACACCTTATTGCTCACCCCTATTACAAGAAATCTGAAAAGAGCACTCCGGCCAGCTGTGCCGTGCCCCCTTCCTCCACCTACTCTCTGGACAATGGCATATGTTCCTCACTTTAAGCTTCGCAAAGAGGAAATAACAGTATATGTATAACAGTTATTTGCTTTAGAGATCAAAATCTGACGGACTGACACATACTTCTTAGAAATGTTAAAAGCAATCTAATTTATTCACAAATATGGTTAATACGAAGGATCCCCTCTTTCAAAATGATGCCCCCTATGGGAGAGGTAGGGATCTATGTTATTTTTGATATTAAAATCCCTATCACACAGAATTTCACTGGAAAGATTCTGTCCAATGTATGACACAGATGGACTACGTGAGATTAAAACTAAAAGGAAAATATTTCATCTTAATTATCTTTTACACTGTAAAGTTTAATAATACCAAACTTTTATATATAAGGAAAATATAACCATTTTTCCAAAATCATCACATCCAAATAATTACCTTAAATTGTTACTAAATCTATTCAATAAATTATTTTAGGAACATTTGGAAAAAAATATTTCACAGCTTCAATTTTTTAAAGCTTTCAAATATATACGGAGTGTCTGTTTCCAAACATATATAAATTCTCTCACTAACAAGAACCAAGAGCAAATATACAAATTACTACTTAGTGGTAACAAAACTTCAACCACAGATGGAAAATCAGTATGAGAGAGGACTGTAATTGTCTTTAAGAGGAAAAGGCAGCACACCATTTGGTGTTAAAAGAGTTTAGACTATGGAATCAAACCAAAATTCCAACTCTAGCTAAATAGCTGTTTGCCCTTGAGGATGGTAGTCAACCTTTCTGGGACTCATTTTCTTCCTCAGTAAAACACACATTTCATTGTAACCATCTTAAATAAAGGGTTATTATGAGAGTTCAATGAGATTAAACACTGACTTATTATTAGCACAGTGTATGGCACACAGAAAGCATTCAATAAAAATGCTGCCTGTTGTTATAACCCCAAAATCACAAAATAACTTAAAAAAAATAATAATGGCTCTACTTCTTTTAACACAAACCAGTCTTCAATCTGTCAATGAATTTCAATGTTATAAATCAGGGTAAATCACAAAACCCACTTTTAGCTCACTTTTGTCAAGAATATTGCTAAAATGCTGTCCTAAAATTAGTCCTATGAGACCTTCATCAAGTACAGGAGAGAGGGAGAAGGGACAGATTTAAGTTTCCTTACCTTTGTACTTGTACACACACAGTTGATCCTCAGGGAAAATACTGAAACTATCGAAGTTTGTCTGCTCCATTTTTTTACATCTACTTCTGCAAATTCCTTCCATTATTTAGTCCTTCTTTCGAGGCACCCCAGCCTAATGTGACCCTAACACCCCTCACCCTGCATCATACTTGGTCCTGACATATTCACTCTTCACAAGTACTCAAAGATTCGGAATTTTTTAATCTCTTTATCCCAAACAGTGACTCTTAGCTAGAAAATGGCCCAGTTTATCTAGTACAGGTTTCTCAACCTCAGCTCTATTAACATTTGGGGCTGGGTAATTCTTTTGTTGAGAGGGGTCCGTCTCACACTGTTAAGATCTTCAGCAGCATCCTGGGCCTCTACACGCTAGATGCCGTAGTAACCCACCACACAAGTTGTGACAACCAGAAATGATTCTGGATGGTGGCAAATGTCTCCTAGGGGGCAAACCCTACAGCACACAGGAAAGATGCTGTGCAGGCAACCCACATCATGTGTGCCTCTGAACAAAAACTCATGGAATTTTTCAAAGGTCTGAAAACAGTTCATTATAATATTATCAGTTGGCATATCTTTTTATAGGAAAAAACAAAAAAATTAAAACCATATCCCTGCTGTCTTGCATAGTTTAACTCTTCAATCAAAAACAAAACAAAACCAAAAATCCTCTCCATCCCCTCAGTGTGACTGATTTCAATGAATATGACATAATGGCTACTTGGCAGTTCTGCAAGGTACCAGACTGCCTGGGTTCAAACCCCCCAGCTCTGCCACTTTCAAGCTCTGGGACTTTAGTTAAGTGTCCTAACTTCTCCCCTCCTCAGTTTTCTCATCTATAAAATGTGTATAATAATAATATCCACTGCAGAGGGTTCATAAAATCATTAAACGGGTTAATACAAGCAAAACACTTAGTATCATGCCTGGCAAAGTGTTTGCTGCTCTCGCTCTGGCTGTTTTTAGAGTGACCTGACTGACCCACAGGATCTGTCCCCGGTAGCAGAACCTGTGGATGTGAGGCTTTGGAGCGTGTGGCAGCTGTATTTCCTGCCCTAGAGGAAGCCAGTCTGTCACAAAAGAATGAAGCTAACATGCAGTGGAGAGCCACAGAAAGCGTTCACAAGTCCTTAATTTCTGATTCTATTTGTTCCCAAGTTTCAGCTGCCATTTACCTCAGCTGAGTTTAGATTTTCCTCTGGTTTTAACATATCCTGGTTTCTTTCAATTTCCCTTTTACCTTTTTAGTTGAGTTGGGCTTCTGTCATTTGCATCTAAAAGAGTTCTGACTAATATGATTTCTAAATTTCAGATGAATAAATAAATCTGATCCAAAGGATATAAAAGATTTTTCAGAGTATATAAAACTTGGTCCAAAATACTGATATACTTTAGAGGCACTATTTCAAGGTAAATAATAAAAATTACAGCTTAGGATAATAAACTGTCATCCGATCTGAATTCAGGAGGAAAAAACTAAAGAATTTTCTTTCGATGTACTTTTTATTGTAATCCTTGGATTTAAACTAAATATTATAAATATTTACTAAATAAGCTAAGAAGAAATTTGATACAAAAAGTCAGATATAGTGTACTTTGAGTGTTTGCAATATTTTCCAAGTATTTTTGTGACTACGAGCTCTCATGTTATGTGTTTGTTTCGAAGTTGGAGGCTTATCTGGAAAGGAACATGCTCTTCCTGGCCGGTAGTCTGTGGAATGTATTTCTGAGCTCACGAAAGGCATTTAATAAATACATTA